TAGGTGGAAGTGAAAATGAACGTTGCTTGGTTCAAAAAACCTTGCTGTAAGGGGCATCAGCGGGAGGTGAGCGAGGAAAGCTTTTTATGAAGGGTTGGACAAAGCCTTTTCTACAGAATGCAGTGTTTAATCCGAACTGAACCAAGGAAGGAATCGCAGGGGAACTGCAATATTTAAGCTAATTAAGCCAGCTCACAGCCTCAGTGCTTTTGAGGCTGCTTTTGTGCTGTGGGACACAAGAAACTGGGATCTGGCCGTGGGTGACAAATGAAGAAAGACGGAGAGAAATGAAACAGATGCAGGAACCAGCAGTGCAGGGCTGTGTGCTTGTTTGTGTGTTGTGACCTGTGTCCTGGCTGGTTCATCAACATTCAACTCGTTTACCAGTAAGCAGATTAGAGGAAGCGTTACAGAAATTGTACAGTTTAATTATTTGACCGATTTTTTTCTGTTGTGGCAGGGTCATTGACAGTTTTTGCTTTGGATTCCTCATTCCTACTCGTTTTGAATGGGTTGTGTGCTTTCTCCTTTTTTTTCGTTTGATGCCCTTGATTGATTGCATTCTCTTACTCGCTGTGTCTGTTTGGGTGTCTTGAGTGGTGTTGCTGCTCATCAGAGCTCCGCAGGATGTAAGGTGCTGGAGCATTTCGTATTTGTAATTTTTTCTTTTAGCATATCCTGCATTGTGAGGATGACCTCTCTTATGTAGGGAGGTTGTATTAGATTTTTATATTAAATGGTTTCAGAAGCAAATGTGGGACTTGATGCCTTCACCAGGTGACCAACGCAAGCTGTGGCAGTTTCACTGCGGGGTTTTGTGGTGATTTCTGTAACTCTGGAGCTGCTGCTTTCGGAGGGAACATCGCTGCAGGTGAGCTGCCTGCAGAGCGGAGGGGAGCGGGGCAGAGAAGCCAGACTGGAGCAGCTGGAGATGCAGCTCTTGCATCTTTTGCGAGGGAAGCCGACCTTTTTTGAACTCCTCCAAGGTTTCTGGCTGCCATTCCGCCTCAGCAGCAGATCGTTACCGGTTATTCGGAGGCGGCAGCACCGTTAGCCTGGCGTAGCACAGTCGGTGCCGCTGCTCGACGGAGCAGTCGGGCGGCAGCTGTGAGTCGAGCATCAAGGGATGGTGCTGTGGGTAGCGACTAACCCTGTGTGTTATCTGGCAGCTCTGGCTTTAACCAGTTCCATGTTGTTTCCAGATGAAAAAGACAAAGAAAACTCCAGGCCATCTCCTTTCCTCCGGAATAAAGACTGTAAAGAAAAAGGTATTTCCTTGGCTGCCTGCCCCGTGAAGATCTTGGCTTTGCCGCAGATGGAGGAAGCCCAGAACCAATGCTGCCGAGCCGAGGCGGGGACGGCGCCGGTTGCACCCCAGCATCGTGCACAGAAGGCACCGGCCTCACCGACTCCTTTGCCAGACTCTTGGTTGTTACGAGCGGAGCCTCACAGCAAGGGTGAAGCCTCCTGTGGCACGGGAGACGATTGCTGCTTCTTCAGCTTCACCCAGGATTCAGAGGGCAACCGGATCATCGCTCACAGAAATGCGTTGGATTTATTTGCTGGAGAAACGCTTTTAGCACGCGGCAGCGTAACTTCGGACTGCGGGACTCACAAACAGGAGGACCAGCCGCCCCCAGAGGCAGCGAAGGCCAGACTTGATTTCCAACTGAGACTTGGTGTGAACCAGAAGAAGAAACCACAGCAGTCGAGTAGTGTTAATTCTTTAATTGCTTTCACTGAGGCTGAGAATATAAATCCTACTCTAACGAGAGACAGTCCCTGGGCTGCTGGCTTGTGGCCAT